AACGCAGATTTTTGTAAGGAATAGAAATAGATATATAATGGAATTAGCCAAATAAACAATTGGAAAACAATTGTTAGAAAGAATTAATAAAATAGAAACATATTTATATCTATACTATATAATTGGGCTTAGGTTTAGTCGAACATGAATATTTCTCCATCGTTCGGTTTCGTCTTTCTTGAGTCACGTATGTGTTTTTTTTTGTTTAGTTTTATAATTCTACGTTTTTTTATTAGTTTCAATTGTACAATGTTGTTATCAGATTCTATTGTTGATAGGGTTTTGATTGCAAATTTCTTCGTTCTCGAAGCATGAGGTTTTTTGTTCTTCGGATTTATTTTTGATCGAAATTAATTTGGATAATGTTATTCTTATTTATATGTTGTATTCTCTGCGCGGTCTAATCATTTGTGTTTGACTACCATCTTTTCACAGTTTATTATTCGTTGTACATGTATGCAAGACTATTCCTTTGTGTTGTGATTCGAATGTGTTTTATTGTTCAGTTTTTTTTTGTGGTTCTATAATTTCTTATAAATCTTAAACCTCCTTTGTCTCCAATTATTTGCAATATATTGTTCTATCATATTCGTTTTTGATTTTCATAGTTTCTAATTTATTTATTTTACTTGCAGATATTATATTTGATTAATTAAGGTGTAGCATCTCTTGATATATAACCCCGTATATCGTCTAACTTTTGTGGGTAATTGGATCTCACTTGCGTTTTTTGTACTACTCTTGAATATATTATAACATACATATATAGTCATATGTACAATCTACCCTAATCACACGATAGTTTCTTTACAAAGACAAGCCACACATAATCGTATAAATACAGAAGTAAGGTGACAACTATGTAAAAGTGACCGTAACCAATCGAGGTATGAGGTTTTTTTGTTGATCGATTTTATTGCTGATAGGTATTAGTTCGGGTTATGTTTTTCTTAATAATAATGTTTTTGTTTGCTTTTGAAGCCATTATATCTTGGACCTATATATGGGCTATGGTTCACAATGGACCTGACTATATATAAGTTCACCCATTGTGAACCATAGCCCATATATAGGTCCTTCGCTTATGGGTCTAACATCTCTTTTCTTTCTTTTGCATGTGTTTTTTAATAAGGTATGTGTGATTCTTGGTGAATTTGGAGGCTACTTGTATATGCAACATTTGGTGACGTGATTATGGTGATCCGTGGCGATGAGGTGAGCATAAATAGATGCCATGGCGTCTTGCAATTATAGAAGAGAAGAAACCACTTTAGTACTTAATGGATATTACTCGATAAAGTGTGAAAGTAATTATTTGATGTTTTGTGACTATAATTTTTAGATGATATATTTAAAAAAAACATAGATGCACTAAAAAAAACTAGGTTTTGGTGCCATAATAGCATGAAGTCTTTATGTAGATTTTTGATATAAAAAAAAATTATGCGATAATAATATTTACATTTAATTAAGATTTTCACTTCTATTGATTTTTGTATATTTGTTTAGTTAAATTAACATCTAGAAAAATTCAATAAACCATTACTATGTAAAGTTTTTCAATGTTTTTTTACAGTCTTCAATTTTCTTGACATTGTACTTTTGCATTTGTTTATGTCAATGTTACCCATTAAAAAAATTGCTAAACACAATAATATATTAAAACAATTGATAAATTATACCATCCGATGCAATGCATTTAAAGTTGGAAACTACATTTTGGTGTTTAAATTTTGTTTCGTATACTTTTTTCGAGTGAGTGGTTGAATTGGTAAGAAAACAAGTTAGTTGTATGATATG